CCTCGTAGGACCCCATCTGATCGGATATGAGTGGTAGTATTATCCTGATATTAAACCGTACTTATGAAAGAATATGCCTTGGAAATTTCCAGAATCTGCGAAGTTGCTAATTCCGTGGGTGTATGCAAATTTATGAGCCAATATTTAGCATACTCTTTCGTTTCTACGCAATCCTAAATTCTCATGAAGTTTGAGTACTTCGTAACGTAAAAAAGAGGTATCGATAAGACGAGTATCCCCGTTTGAGTATTGGAATATATGGAGTTTTATATAACATCACGTTGAGATATTATATCAGTTCTTAAGTTAGCCTTGGAGTGTTTCATGAATGATAGCAAATACAGCTTATCTTCCTCTTTAAGTGTAGAGTTTTAATTATTCAAAGCTTATCAACAGCTGCTCTCAGATTAAATCATTTTGTCTATATCGGTAATTTCTGGCTTTGCTATGGATACAATTCTTACATCATTAGAGGAAGTAATCCTTAGTGATTAGAGAACGTCAGATGACTATATTTATTATGTGGTCGTTCCCAGTGGATAAGTGGCACTAACAGTTTTTTTCCTGTAAAATAATTTGTTTTCCAACGTGATGTAGTGCACAGAGTACAGCGCTCTACATGCGATATAAAAGCGGGGCGGATCCAAATGTGATCAGACCTCGAGTTAAAGCTTCTGTTCTGCTATTCAAGCAATTCTTCTAAAGCTATGGCTGCAACAAACATTGCTATCCTACATAACAAGGCATGGGATTGGCCACTTCAGGCAAATGATGAGTTTGTAAAAGTTATTGAAGACTCTGAACATTTTGAAGTTGGCTTGGATGCGAAATATTTTACTCCAAAGGAAATACAAGTGAGTTTTTGCAGCATCTTAAGTGCATTTTGAGCTTTGAGTGATGTAGTAAATTTCAGGTGAGAACAATGGGAGATTTGATCCAGATTAAGATGGAACACGAAGGACGCGGTGATGATATGACTAGTAGGAGCATTATGAGGTAAGTACGTAGCAAAATACGCATAAAAATGATTATTGATTTTTCTAGTTAAGACACTACAATGATAATTAAAGGCAAAAAAATTAGTGTCCTTTTTGTCAACTTGGAATTCGCTCTTCTCCGTAACTTCTTTTTACTTCAGATTACTTTCCTTACATTTGCTCAGGTGCTATAAACTACCCGAAGGTGCCGATGCAAAGACATTGAAGAGCAACCTTGATGACAATGGAGTTCTCCATATATCCGCGATGAAAACACAATAAACTGCCCTTTGTTAAATTCCTACACTCCTCTTAATTCGCTATCCGTTTGCTTATTTTCTTGGAATGTCCATGAATTTCGAATTTTTTTTCTCCAAACTTTTCACGACATCTGGAAATCATGCCCATTTGCTTGTAATCGCTGAAAAGGTGTTTAAAATTGTAAATGTTTTTTCTTTTTTTTTCGATTTTATTTGGCAATAAATTTTATCGTGTAGTGCTTAGACAAAGTCAAGTCGATATAATTTGGTTCGAAA